TTGAAAAAATAGCACTAATAGTTTAGTAAATCTAGGAATTTCTAGGTCACATTATCAGTGTTCTGAGAATCACTAAAGATGTTTGAGTTTTGGGTCACTGTGAGTATTATTTAGCAAGTATTATGTGAATAGACGACGCCTAAATATTCTGCACATGCGTCATGATATCAGGAGTTTAACTTTAACATGTCCTGACTTAAATCCTGTTATAAGTATGATCCCATAGTGGAATCGTTGGATGATTGGGTTATGAGCCTTTATGCCCTTCTAGGAATGGATTAATTTTAGTAAACGTGTAACAGTTTTCGGTGGCGGAATTTTTTATTGACAAATTGGTGCACAGATGTAACAAATCGCAGACTTTGCGTCTTCTCCTCAAGTAGAACAAGAAATCATTTCATCGAAAGACTTTACGAACACGTCCAGGTATAAAACGTCCACGATACCATATTTGGCGGCAGGTATTTTATGTGATGAAAATGGTGTCAGTGACGAACTAACTAACCTTCTCCACCCTTATAACATCAAGCTTTACTGTTATTATTCTTTTTATATTTATAATCCTCTCAATTTTTTTGGTTTGTTTTCTCAAAAGTGTAGACATCATTTAAGCTCTGTAATAATTGTTATTTTTTGTTTTTTTCCCTTCACCATGCTATGTCAAGAGAATATTAGATTTAATACTCTATAACATGCTAAAATTTCCATACTGTATCGACAATATTGTTTGAAACAAACCCACTTATTATTATTAGAGTTATTGTTCTCATTTTATACTTTGCACATTTTTGACTTTATTCCTACTGTAAAAGTGGACAAATTCCTGTGGTTAATTCCGTTTATATTTTGAGTAAATTAGATGCAATATTGTGACAAATACTGAATTATACGTACTGTCTTTGGAATAAAACTGATTATTATTATTAACTGCGAACTTGCTTTCTAACTAGTGTTGTTCTATTGTTGACTTAGTCTACCCATACATACCTTTCATACATCGATGTAGCTTAGTTTAACACCTGTTCTTATGTGAAACATGCATGCAATTTCTTAATGTGTCTTGTTTTAATCATCGCCATCATTATTATTCCCTAGTGGAGTGGTAGTTACTCTTAAAGTTGTAATTGAAAAACACTGCTCCAATAAAGCCTTTTTTAAAAATCTTTTCAGTGGTGTAAGTAATAAGTCTTCACTTGCTTCACTTTGTGACGTAACTGGTTAACTGGTTAATTAATAGATTGCCTGGATAAAACAGATAGAATATAAGCGTCACTGCCTTAATTACTTGTTCTGTCGTTAGGTTCCCTTGATTTTTGTGGTTTCTTTTTCATTAGCATATAGCAATTTATGTTTGTACGCTCAAGCAAGATGTATGTTCTGTTTATATATTTATTTTTTCTTTCTTCATAATTGGCGTCGTCTTTCTTTCTCTCTTTTTTCATTTGGTTCCAATTATCTCATGCATTCAATTGATTATTTAATGTAATACAACACACAGTTTCCATCAAAAAAATTATTCTGATAATCCTAATTTTACACAATTCCAGAGTGTACTTACTATTCATTGTTTTAATTTAATTATTATTGTTAGTTTGACGGGTTAGCCTGTTAAATAATCAATGAACAGTAGTTGTCTCTGTTGCATTGTTCTTGTTTGTTTTACTTCTCTACACTACGTCTACTGCAATAACAGAAATTTCAACCACTGATACACGCTAATACTGGTGCTACTGCTATTACTGCCACTGTTATTATTATTATTACTGCTATAATGATTATCACTTTCTTTCTTTCTTTTCCGCCTATTTTCTTACCATTTAAGCTAATAATATGTTTAATATAAGCATCAAGCAGATGATATGCACCCAACTACCATGTATATATATGCGTATATATTGAATGTTTGTCTGCGTTGGTGTGTGTATGTTTGTGTCTGTCTGTTTGGGTGTATTTTCACCAAAAAAAAGAATGATATCATTGTTAGTCTTTGTTGCTGTTTTGTAATCGTACTACTACTACTACTACTACTATTAGGCAATGTCTAACTAACTGGAATAAGATGGCGTCATGATGAACCTCAACAAGAAAAATGAAAAAGAAAGCAAATAACAACACAACGCATCGAGTTGAAATCGATTAGACGAATAAAAATATCTTCTAAGGCGATGAAAAAGATGATAAAAGAAAACTGCATTATTTGAAGATGTATGCATAAAATGTATCCATGTATTAACTTTAAAAAAAGAAATCCTTTACGTTCCCAGTGGAACATAGGGCTTCAAGCTACAGGCTAGTGATTTAGCCCTGGTTGGCGAGCATTCCATCGCTGTGCCACCAACGCATTGTATTAACTTGCGTTATGCAATTTAGTGTTCTCTATCTCTTAATATAATAATAATAATCTACTTTATTCCAAACACAGTACTTATAATACAGAATGGAATTCTCAGCATTTGTCACAATATTGCATCTGATTTACTCAAAATATAAATAAAATTAAAAGAAAATTAACCAGAGGAATTTGTTCACATTTACGGTACAAAGACAAAAATATTCGAAGTACAAAATGAGAGTAGTAAATATAATAATAATAATAATGGTTAGGACTCTCGCCGACGATGCACATGGTCCGAGGTTCGAGCCCCTGCCGGCGCACACCCGATATCTATGGTCGGCCTGCAAAATTTGGGCTACCGATATCCATGCTGAAAATGCTATACTTGTACTGAAAATACGGTGTGGCACCAAGCTGTAACTAAAATAAAAATAAATAAATAAATAATAATAATAATAGTGAGTTTGTTTCAAACGGTATTGTCGATTCAGTTTGGAAACTTTAGCATGTTATAGATTATTGGATCTAATGTTCTGTTGATATAGTATAGTGAGGGGAAATACAAAATTAACAGATATAACACAGCTTAAATTATGTCCACACTTATGAAAAAAAATAAACAAAAACAAAAAAATTAAGAGGATTATAAATATAAGAAATACAATAACAATAAAGTTTGATGCTGTAAGGGTGGAGGAAATGGTTTATTTAGTAGTGCAAAGAAGGTTTGTTAGTTCATGCCTGACACTATTTTCATCACATAAAGTACGTGCTAAATATGGTATAGTAGAATTTTTATACTTAGACGTACGTGTATAAATTCTTCTGAAAAGATTTCTTGTTTTACCTGAGGAGACACAAGGTTGGAGCTGCGGGTAGAATGGGTGCTCAGAGTCTGACAAAATTCCTTTAGCGAATTTGGAAAATGACATCAAGTGCCTATCGGTGACAATGTTAACGATACTGGGATACTACTCGTCCTACTGACAGTCTTTAGAGTTCTACGAAGTATGACATAGTCTTTTTTAAGCAATCCAGGAAAGAATAAGCAGGTGAACAGTAAAGAAGAATAGGTTAAATACACGGGTTGACAAACTGTAAGAGGAGTGGTTGGGTTATGCCTGAGTGCCTCAACTTCTTAATGTAAAAAGTCAGACGGAATATTCTTTTAGAAATCGCTAAGACATGGGAGGACCAGCATAGGTCAGAAGAGAGAATTAATCCAAGATACTTAACTTCCGACTTGGTTTCTATATCAGTATCATCAATTTTGCAAGGTTCATAGGAACCAATGGCTTCATTTAACTTTCGTTTACATCGGAAACTGAAATTAACAGTCTGACATTTGGAAGGATTTAGTTTAAGGCCGTTAGACGAAGACCATTTTCTAATTCCTGATAGAAAGCTGTTCATCTGCATAGATTGTATAACTATGGATTGTATAACTAGAATTCGGGTGTTTTGAACTGATTCACCTGTCAGCTGAGTCAAACTGGGGTACACGCTGATGAGCTCGATTCAAAATAAGCGAAATGGCCGTTCGGTGTTTAGATTACTTCTATCTGATTAGCAAGTACTACTTTCATCAGTCAGTCAGTCAGTAGCATACAGCATCGTTCATTTGTACTATCAGGCAGATCAACTATTGTCGTCTGAATAATCTCTGTTTCGAAAAGAAACTGTGGTGCGTACTGATGAAGAGTATCACATCAGGACGAAACAGTCGTCCAGTTCCTTAAATTTTTATCGGTTTCTTACAGTGTGTGATTAATCATCATGGTGAACAGATTTTATAGCTTTGAGTGATTCGCATAATGTACAGTGGGTAGGCTCATAGTCAGCACAAGCTGAAAACTTGCACTTGCCGGGAATTCCTCGTTCACAGGCAATAATTGCAAGTGCCAGTTACACTCACAATAGTGATGAACGGCTCTCCCAACCCTTTTGGTTCAGGTTGCAAAAAGCTCTGGCACCGCCATTGTAACGCACGAATGACTGCGGACATTTAAGGGTATCATAGTTTTACTCTTGTTCAATTCCGTACGGTGTTATTGTGCCAGCTGTTTCTCTAAAGAGTAGAATTTAGCACGGCGCCCACCGGATGACGGCAATACTACTTAATAAAGAAGCAGTTGGAGCTGCGCTATGAATAACCTCGGAGGAGCAGTCTGCTTTTTAGTAGTTTAAAGTCTCGTTGGTTATCAGAATTAAACAGGCGAACTGCTCTACTAGCTAATAATAGCCATACACCCTGGATTACATTCAACTTAATAGCTCCATGCAATACCGTTATTATTATTATTACTTTTACTTTATCATGCTACATGTATGTAGTGTGCACTCACTTCAGTTACCATTCTCGGGAGTTATATACGTTGATATACTTACAATTAAGCTGGTAATCAATACTTTGGAAGGTGGTCTTTTTCTAGTCTCTTAACATCTATTTGCTTTAAATGTTCATTGAGTTTGCTGTACGGTGGAAAAAATGGAAACTCGAAATCACCAGAAAATAAATATCGAAGTTTTCTTTTGACTTTATCATTAACTGCCTCATTTGCTTATTTAACTTATTTTTCATATTTAATGTAGATATTATGCCCAAAAAGCATTTTGTTTACTTTTGTAATATTTTCTAAAACAATGAAATCTCTTTTTTTTACAGGTCGTTTGGTTAGAACAACAAGTGGCAAAAATTCGTGTGAAACGAGATGTACACATTCCAGTCAGTGATCCGAAATGGCCTGAAATGTGGTATTTGGTAGGTTGTCTTAATTTAAATTGTATTTAATTGCTTTTTTTGTGAGTATCTACTGCAGTATACATTTGATAGTTATGCTTCATGCCCTTCTCTCTTCTGTCTATCTTTTATTTGTTTATTTCGATATGTTGTCTTATCATGACTAAATGTTTACCTTTGTAGAGATTTGTATATACGGTTAATTTGTTGGTTGAATAGTTTTCAAATTTCTCGTGTGTGTGTGGTTAACTTTCTTATCTGGGCATTTCAACTCTTCACTAGTTAACTGCGTATATATCATATTATAGCTTTACGTTACATTGAGGTAGTTTAATAAAAGCGCAATTTTGATACGCTTTTATAACACTTTGAGAATAAAACGACTCCAATAAATGCATGACTTCGTGACACTGTTAGTTTATATTTTATTTTTTTTATTTTATATTTTATTATAGCTTGATTCCACACAATATTTTGGTACAAGTATTAAATTTTCATCGTGTGATATCGGTAGCCCAAATTTAGCAGGCCGACCATAGATATCAGGTGTGCGTAGGCGGAGGATCGAACCTCGGACTATGTGCATGGTCGGCGAGAGTCCTAACCGCTGTGCCACCGACACACAAATGCTTGTCACCGCCTCGAGGGTGGATGCCCAAGTATCCAACCACCTCGTTAGACATCACTTACAATGAATAACAAGTTTATAAAGAGATAATATCAAACTCTTTGTAGTTCTGGACATCACTTATATTTGTTTATTATCAGGCTGATTTGTCTTGTATCATAAATAGGAATAATTAAAATAGGCAAAATGATTATTTCATATACGGACTTGAGATTGTTTTTGTTCAATGGACCACTCTCTCTAAGCTCGCCATGAAGACATCCGTTAGGAGACGTCCTAATGGAGACACCCCACTGCGAATTCTTCATCCCTGTGATTATTAATGGCATCGTTAAATCTAAACTGCACATTGAGCGTGCATCTCAGTAAAAGCTGCTTCAGATAGTTAGTTGGTACTCCAATGTTTATTTATACATTTTAGGTCGATTTAATCACATAGATAACAAATAGTTTCTACTAACGGTACATGTGTAAATAAATAGCAAACATCTAATGAGACCATATGCTTACCAGTCACATTAATTCCATCAACACAGATGGCGAAGTCAAGTGTCCGAAAGGCTATGTTTATACAGATTTGATCTTACTGCTTCAATGATTTCAGCGAGTCATTTGGCTGTAGAATGATGACAGGAGTTCAGCATATCCAATATAGCTCACAGAGGGATACCGTCTTTGTGCACCTTAGGAAGACCATATAAGTGAGGTACGGTTGAGTCAGACGGCTTGAGATGATCATACAAATATGGAGTAAAAATAGATTCGTCCTCTAACTTCTTCAAAGTTTTTGACAATTCATTCTCAATACCCTCCGTTCTGTCTTTCTGGTCGGTTGATTTTAAAAATTTAACTTTGTCGTGAAGAATAGCACATAATTTGTTAATATAATCCTCACGATCTAAAATAACTATACCCGATAAATAAATAGGGTAGAAACTATTTGTTATCTATGTGATTAAATCGACCTAAAATGTATAAATAAACATTGGAGTACCAACTAACTATCTGAAGCAGCTTTTACTGAGATGCACGCTCAATGTGCAGTTTAGATTTAACGATGCCATTAATAATCAAAGGGATGAAGAATTCGCCATGGGGTATCTCCATTAGGACGTCTCCTAGCGGATGTCTTCATGGCGAGCTTAGAGAGAGTATTATTATATTATTATTTTGTTCCCTTGGGTTCCTAGTGGAACATAGGGCTTCAACTGCACGTCTCCACTTGCTTCTGTCTTCTGCTGTACTTTTCACCTGCGTCCATGTTAATCCATACTGTTTCAATTCCTCTTCACACGATCTCCTCCATGTCACCCTTGGACGTCCCACTCGCCGCTTCCCTTTCGGGTTTCACTCGAGCACTGACTGACGCGCGATGTCACCCAGTGGCCTCCTCAGCGAGTGTCCAATCCATCTCCACTTTCTCCTGCATATTTGTTGAGCGATTGGTTCTTGTTTCGTTTGTTTGTTCCCATAGTTTCTTGTTGGTGATTCTTTCCGGCTATCTGATCTTCAGTATAGAGAGAAGACAGTTGTTGATAAAGGTGTGCAACAGGCTGTTGGAAATATTCTTTGTGACCTGCCAAGTTTCTGATCCATCCGTATAGAAGAACTGACTGACTTGACGTTTGTATTGAAAATCCGAATTTTGTTGTTGATGCAAGCTGAGTGACGAAGATTTCCAGATTGGTTTCATGTTGATGAATGTGTTTCTCGCCTTCCCGATTCTCGATTTGACATCCTCGTCCGTTCCTCCTGTAGTTGAGACAATGCTCCCTAGATAAGTGAATGAAGTAACCTCTTTCAAATCCCTCCCGTTGATGGTGATTGGCACTGGATGTTGCTGCTGCTGTTGTTGTTGGTTGGTTGGTTATTTTTATAACTTCCGTCTTGTCTATGTTCACCTGGAGTCCTGTCTTTGCTGCTTCTTCGACCAGTTTGTCGGTTTTCGCTTGTAAGTCTTCGCATTTGTGTGACATCAAACATAAATCATCCGCGAAATCCAGGTCTTCTAGGTTCTTCGCGTCGGTCCAGGATATCCCTGTCTTTTCGTTTCCCACTGTCTGACGCATAATCCAGTCCACCACAATTAGGAATATCATTGGTGATAATAAGCACCCTTGTCTGACTCCTGTGTTTACTCCAAACGCCTCGCTGAGTTTTCCGTTGTGGATCACTTGACATGTGCCGTTGTCGTACAGCTGTTGAATAAGGTTGATGAATATTTGGGGTACGCCGTAGTACTTGAGTAGTTTGCAAATTACTTCGCAGTCAACGCTGTCGAAGGCCTTCTCAAAGTCTATAAAGTTGAGGTAGAGGTTTGATTGCCATTCCATTGGTCCATTGAAGAAACAATCTCGAATTTGTATATGTATAGGCGATATATCGATGCCACCTTCATCATTTGTAACGACAAGTGTTCAAAATGATTATTTCATATCCAATATGGTGAAATAATCACACTTGTCTTGTATTCGCGTATACGTTTCTCCGTCAAGTAATGACAGGCATAAAAGTATAGATAGATCCAGTGTTTCCTACGCTCATTTCCAACTGTTCAGAAATACTCATTGTCTACCTTTTATAAGAATTGGTGTTTATTATTGTATGAGTGGATTATTATAAGTGAATAAGATGTTATTATTTCATTTTTCTCAATATAAGCAGCTAATTTGAATATTCGAGTATTTCTCAATCCTTTATTGATCACTGAAATGCTTTGGTTTAGAAAAATTTCTTGTTTATGCTCGTGAATTATTATGTTGTCGTGATCATCAAAACGACTTCCCTAGTTGAAAATTTGTTCTGCTGCTTTTTTTGTAAAATCTCTCATGAGTATTGGTGGTTATTATTAAAAGATTATTTGTCGTCATAAATTTTTTTATTTTTAAATGTCAAAAACTTATCTCCTTTGAGGATTGAATGATATGACTGTCTAATTTCTATATCCGTATTCTGTCTTCTCAAACAAGATGCATAAACAAGTGTTATATACGTCTCTCATTCTCTCTATGTATTTTTAAATGTATGCGTGACTGTTGATGTCGTCAACAATGAAGGATAGATTGCTTCCTAATCCTAATTTATTCCTTCCAGCCTAGTTATCATTAAAATGAAAGAGTATTCTAACCAGGAATATCCAAGAACTAATACAATAGAATAATAGATACAGTAGAGAAACTGAAAGTAGTGGATGCTATCATAAGGAGAAGAAATAATTGTTGGTTGCCTGTCAGTGTCACTGTCAGTCAAAATCAACATTTATAGGTTTCGGTAGTCTTCTTGATACCTCTCTACAAACGTGGTGAACTAGATTAGTCAACATAATATTCGGGGTTTTATCATGGCGTCTTGAGGGATCACCCCTCGAGCCTTTGATTTGAAGTCTGGTGCGCAGGGCAGCAGCGCAACTTTTAGGAGTTGCTTTCCCTTTGGTTGCTGGTGACCGAAACAAGTCTATAGGCCATTCGTTCTTTTTGGATTCTGTAGCTGATATGAATCGCAGGTTTGGAATCAGGGTTTTTCAACTGTCATTGATGACCTCTTTGTCGAACAATGTGGTGATAAACGCCGAACAACCACATTCGCCCTTCCGCTTTTGTGGAAATGCTCCTGGTAGACGTTACAAATGCGTGGTCACATGAGAGTATTTTGAAGAGAAGACCAGAGTTGACCCACCTTCAGCTGTACCAAGTCATTTATAGGTTCAAATAATGTTCCTCTTACTTTGGCCTAAACAATGACACTTTATTTTTATGGCATATACTACTGAAAAGAACTTGTAAATGGTATATTGGTGACGTTTTCTTCATGAATCTTGACTGGCAAAGCAACGGATTAAGTTAAAAATCGGTGAAAGATAAAGATAATTGTGCAGCAATATAGAAAGCATGGAATGAAGACAAAATAAGTAGAATATGAATACTTTTTGCAAATTGAAGTTTCGATGCAGGGTCTTTATATTACTCCATTAATACTTGTCATTTTTTTTCAAATATCCCCTGTATTCTGCGGTTACATCACGTATTGCGTGGAACTTGTAGTCTAACATATAAAGCCTGTAAAGTAAGCAGACTGATGCTTTATGTAATAGCTCGCGATGAAGGCATTTTCCTCATAAATATTCTCCCCAATGATAACTTTAGGATCTCCTTATCAACAGTGATAATTATCTCGATATAGAAGATAATTAACTGTCATGTGACTAGCTTTTATGTCCGAAATTTTAAATCTTTCACCGCTATTTTTGGAAAGTTAAGAACAGGACACTGACTGACTTTTCAGAGAAGTGCAGCGGTTTAAATTGCCAATTTCGATGTAGCATACGGGGATAGAAAAAAAAGAAAAAAATTTATAAGAACTACGATTGGCAGAAAAGTGAGGCAGAAAGAATAGT